GGGTAAACCCTTGAGAAAATAAAGTAGATATGGAGATGGGTGTTTGGGTCGATTGTTTGATAATTGAATATAATAAATGTATTATTGTGGGTTGAAAACCCTATATGCTCACCAGGCTCCCAAGCCTGACCCACTCAGTTTTCTTTGCATTACAGGTAATGACACAAGAGTATAAGTTGGTGGACCTGACGAGAGATTTCGGGATTATAGATCAGTAGTTATAAATAACTATTGTAAGGTCTATTTTATATTGTTTATGCTTTTGGTCTGTATCGGAACATGACATCCCGAGATTTTGTTATTTAATGAACATATATTTCTTTAAGAAATGCTTTGATAAATTTTATTTTATCATATTTTATTTTGAAAACAAATTCCGCAACTCTTTTAATCAAAGGATGACTCTGATTTTAATAAAAACAAAGCATAAACAAATCTGTCTTTTCTGGTCGTGAAATTGGGGATGTCACAGTTGGTATCAGAGCATTAGTTTAAGCGAACTAGGAATTTGTAGGAATTTTAGACTTAAACTTAGAATGCTAAGCGATGATTGTAAGATGAGTGTCTACCATATTTTAAGACACAAGCACTAGTATATTTTATGAAAGTTGCTTAAAATGTTTTTGTGTGCTAAATGTTATATGTTTTCCATATATGATATTATTTGTTCGGATCTATGGTCTGCTGCCGACCGGATCTGGAAACCTTATATGTTTAGGATTCTAAGCGTATGCCTACGGTAATAGAACTAGCATGTAAACGTTTTGGAGTGATAAGGATGATTTGAATATCTATCATGAATGAGGATCTAATTTCACCTTATTCGGTGTATAGATCAAAAATGGTGAGAACAAGGAGTGGAGTTGGAAACGTGGACGAAAACAGGAATCAAATACCTGTAATAGAGCAAGTAGCTATTGCAGCAGCATCACTTGAGCCAATAACAATGGCCAGAGTGCAATTGATGATTCAGATGATGTTGGATCGTTAGATGGAGGAAACTAGACATCTGCTTAGGCAGAATCGCGAAGAACTGTCAATTCACATCGAAGAGCCCGAAGTAAATGGAGGGTAGTCTGAAGGAGGAAACTTTGATGGGATCATTGGTCAAGACGACCCACCGATTGTTAGGCAGAATAACCAGTCTTTCTGGGATCCCGACACTGGTGCAAGTCATGGACTGGATCTCCGAGATGGATGCAATGTTCGAAAGTTGCGAGTGTAGCAACAGGCAGAAGACCGCTCTTGCAATTCCTCTCTTAAAATCTGGAGTACTGAGTTGGTCGAAGTTACTAGCTGGTTCGATGCCCAAGGGGGAAGCTAGCAAGATGTCTTGGGAAGCGTTCGTGGTGCAACTGGAGATGCAATACTGCTCTGAGCAGGATATTCTGGAAATCAACAATGAGTTCCAGAATATGAAAAAGAGAAAATTGAGCGTCACTAAATATGCTACAAGCTTTACGAAAAAGATGAAGCTTATTCCATACCTAATTCCAACTGAACTTTCCAAGGTCAACAAGTTTGCCAATGGATTACCAGCGGACTTTAGTCCGACAGTCAAACAAGCAACCACTCTGAAAGCCACCATCTGGGCAGCCAAAAACGTTGAGACAAGGGTCTGGAGAGAGGTGAAGTTGGAGAGAAAAGGAAACATGAAGGATCTTCAATGATCAACAAAGAAACAAAATTCTCGAAATCTGAAGGAAGAGATGAAGCTAAGTGGTGTGAGAAGTGTAAAAAGAAACACTTCGGGAAGTGTAACGAAGAGACGACCTGGTACAAATATGGGAAGACAGGGCATTTCGCCAACAAATGCGCAGCTAACAAAAAGGTGCGCTACGGATGTAACGAAGAAGGGAACATTTCTAGAGACTGCCCAAAGAAAAACGCACCGCCACATCCAAGGGCATTCCACATGCTCCTCGACGAAGCAGAAAACAATGGGAGGATTAAAAGATGAAGACTTCATATTAATATATAAAGTTTGTATCAGGAAGCATAGCCTGTTAGAGGCATAGTATAGGCTGAACTTGAACTTTTGTGTAATAGTTTCAAGAATTAATATAAACCCTGGTTTTGTTATCTGATATGGTTAATGATTATATGATTTATGTATGGTGACTTGGTTAACTACGAGACAATACTTGGGACGAGTGTGAGTAGGTGTAAATGATAGTAGAGATCTATACTACTGGAAGCACAGGACTCACGCTTGGATCAGGGAAAGTCGCAAGGTTACCAAGAAGCTAGTAATTGATTCCATTTTATCCAAGTATGTCGTTACCATTGTTTTGGTAATGACTAGTAAGATGGTTTTTATTCCGACCCTAGTGGTCATATCAATTGAGTCCGACTACGATGAGAGGTCATCGGGACACGGCCCATCGGTCTATTATAATAGATAAAGGAAAGTATCTATCCTAAGAAGAAGAAGGAGTCCACAATAAGGGTTACAATTGAAAGTCCAACATAGTACGAAGAACAAATGCAAGATTGAGCATCACGGTTGTTACTTAGGATGGAAAGATAATGCATGGAATCATTATACAAGTCATATTTCAATGATGATTCCGGGACGTAATCATCCTAAGGGGGAGATAATTGTAACGCCCGTAGATCAGGGCTAGTCAATTTAGAGACGATAAGCGTCAAAAATGACTTTTGATGGAAGATTATTTAGAAGTATTAATCTTAACTAAGTTATCGTAAATGTTACAAGGATACCGTACATATAAAGAACGACGAAATCCGAGTTATAATGAAGAAGTTATGACCTGTCGAAGTTTCGCGACAGAACCAGCACGACGCCGAATGACGTAAAAATACGAATTTAATATAGAACAATATCTAGACTTAGTAATCTAAAAGAAATTTGAAGAGTTCGTTAAACTGAGAGCGTGCATAAAAAGAACGCCCAAATCTGACTTCGTATGGGGAAGTTATGATTTTCTGAAGTTTCGACTTAGTAGTATGCAGCCCGAATACTCGATTTGAGATCGAGCGGTTTTTATCCGAAACAATATAAACGAGAACCGAAGATCACGTTAATAGTAGTGAAACAATAAAAAGATAGGCGAAAACGGACGTCAGATGAAGAAGTTATGAATTTATAACGGAGTTTTCCTGTCCCAGCCTACTAAAAATAATATATAAGTAATATATTTATAATATATTAAAAATAAAGTCAAATATAGCCAACTGAGTCTAAACGAGAGTTGTAGATCATAATCTCACCTACGCATCGATATAAAGAACGTCGAAAACGGAGTTTGTATGCGAAAGTTATGAATTTCTGAAATTCGGGGCGCGAACCCCAAAGTTGTGTCAGAGACCACGACGTAGCAACAGTGGCCACGACGTGGCATGACTTCTGACGCATTCTGGAGCCTGACAGAACAAGTGGACGATGACGCATGCAGTGACGACCAAGCCCACAACGTGGAAAAAGGTGTCACGACGTGACAAGAGCTAATTTTGCCCTATAAATAGATTTACGTGCAAAGAAATACCCCCGAAGCTTCGATATCATCCCCAGACCCGAAGAGAGTCCTGAAGCCCGAAGATCCCAAGAAGAAAAGAGTTTCCGAGCCGAAGCTCTACCTGCAAGAAGCCCGTGTGTGAAGATTTTCCAGATCTACCGAAGAATACTACTTTTACAAGCCGTAGTGTTGTCCGATCATCTTCTGATCAAGTGAGTGTATAGTTACTTTCTTCTAACACATAAATATAAAGTATTAGTTATGAAATACGTGTTATGTGTTGAATATATTATTTGTCTGTTTGAGATGGGCTTGGAATTGATGTTTTTGTACGCGTGTTAAATGATTTAAACTGTATATGTATTTTATATCTACAAATGTGTCGGGTAGAACATGGGTAGATGAAATACCGGCTACTATGAGACGTAGTGCCTATTGAGTAAAGCCTTGGCGACGACGCTACTTCGTGCCTATTGAGTAAGCTTTGGTGACGATGCGACTTCGTGCCTATATTATAAACCTTGGTGACGATGTGACTTTGTGCCTATGGAGTAAACCCTGGCGACTATGTGACTTAGTGCCTATTGATAAACCTTGGTGACGATGTGACTTCGTGCCTATTGTATAAACCTTGGTGACTATGGAGTTAGCACCTGATAGCTATGGATTTAGTATCTGATAGATAAGCTTTGGCAGCAATGGACTTCGTGCCAATTCCTTAGGTAAATCCTTAGGAATGAATGAATGAAGGATAGTGGATTCTTAGGTTAAACCCTTGAGAAAATAAAGTAGATATGGAGATGGGTTTTTGAGTTGATTGTTTGATAATTGAATATAATAAATGTATTATTATGGGTTGAAAACCCTATATGCTCACCAGGCTCCCAAGCCTGACCCACTCAGTTTTCTTTGCATTATAGGTAATGGCACAAGAGTATAAGTTGGTGGACCTGATGAGAGATTTTCGGATTATAGATCAGTAGTTATAAATAACTGTTGTAAGGTCTATTTTATATTGTTTATGTTTTTGGTCTGTATCGAAACATGACATCCTGAGTTTTGTTATTTAATGAAAATAGATTTCTTTAATAAATGCTTTGATAGATTTTATTTTATCATATTTTATTTTGGGAACAAATTCCGCCACTCTTTTAATCAAAGGATTACAATTGGAGTGTAGTTGGGACCAAAACTATGAAAAAACAATTTTTTTACTAAAATAACAATGTGCAGTGTAGTTTGGACCAAAACTGTAAAAATCGAATATTTTTTATTATAAAAACAATAGGGAGGGACAGTTTGGTCCAAAACTTTGAAAATCCAATTTTTTTTACTTTAAAAATAGAATGTAGGTGTAATTTTGGTCTAAACTATGAGAATTGATTTTTTTTTACTAAAAAAACAGTGAGTAGGACTACTGTGGACCAAAACTATGAAATTTTTTTTATTTAAAAAACAATGCACAGGGGCAGTTTTGAACCAAAATTGTAAAAATCGATTATTTTTACTTTAAAAACAGTAGGGAGGGACACTTCCGTCGTGGTGAGTATGAATACCTCATTAATAAGAGGTTTCAAATCCCTTACATCTTCTCTTTCAGGAATACCAACAATGTCATCTCCCTTCGGTATAAAATGGTTTGACCCATTAAACTCAACTTGAGTCCTTACGTACATTGAGTATACAATTGGAGTACCAATATGGCAATATAGACACCAATTTCCACCTTGTTTTGGTCAGTTGTCCTGCCTTCTTCAACTGCAACAACCTCGCCACCTTGAAGCTTCGTTTTTGTAGCTGGTGGGAGTAATATACCATCTGCACTTTTTCTACTCTGCATCCTTGATTTTTACCAATACTCTGTACCCAATGGTTTCAATGAAGTGTAATTGGGAGCAACAGTAGTAGCAAATTTAACAACGAGAGTATGGATTTACCTGAGTGTCGAACTTCTAAACAGAGAAGACATCACAACCAATGAAACTTTGGATGTTGAAGATCTCAGACCTTCAAACAAAGGAAAAAAAATAAGTCTGTCAACTGAACAACTGCCATTTACTAAAGCTTGAGGAGAGATTAGGTGGTGGTTGTGGTATTAGTATTACTAGACTGAAAACGGAGAAGATAGAAATTGATTTCAAGAATAGAGAAGAACATAATATTCGAGCTTAACAAGGAATGTATTTCACAAAATGATGATGATTCTTGATCGATCAAACCTTACAGACGTTTTCTTCACTCCCTCTCGTCATGAAAGCCAATTTCAAAACCCTTATTCCACCCGGAGACACTTAATCCACGTTTACATCCATGGCATTTTTTTTCCTTTAAAAATGTAAAATGTAAGGCTTTAACCTACACCTGCCGGTTACAAATAGGGGATATTTGAACATATCGTTTTTTTTTTTTTTTTTTTTTTTTTTTTTTTTTGTATTTTTTATACAAAAGCTTTAGTAAATGGTTTTTTGTTTAAACATACAAAACTTCAATGGTATTTTTTAAACGTTTTTTAAACATTCTTACCCTTATAAGTCATTTTCCCATTTTTAAACTATGAACTCTATATTTATTTACGAAATTTGCAAAAAGTTTTAACGTAGTCATTTTCACATAAACCAATTCAAAATGTAAATGCAAAATTATATCAAAATTCTAGATTTTCATTCACCAATAAAAAAATCCACCAATTACGTGTTTTTTTAAAAGCAATAATATGCATGTCTGAGGATCCTAAAAAAAACACAATAGAACAATTAAACCTAACATAGTGGACGTCAATCGGAAAAGAGAAGCCGTATGGAGGCTGCCGTCGTTCTTCCGGCCATGACCCCGTTGACCACCGGCTGATTGCGTTGGGATAACAGCACCGTTTGCACCACCTCCACTGTTGCCTCCGTTTCCACCGCTACCATTGCCACCACCTTCATGACCTCCTCCGCCACCATGACCACCTCCACCTCCATGACCTCCTCCGCGCTTATCAACATAAACAAAGCTTGATTTAGCTTGGAGATGAATCGACCAATCCAAGGATGCATGTAGACTGTTAATTACGTAAAGCAATAGCAAAATCAACATCATCTTCTTCGCCATTTTCGTATCCATTTTACTTCTGAGATTATTATGGCTTGAAAAAAAAGCAACTATTTACGAATTCATGTTGAATATTTGATCGGTGAGAATTACAATATGCAGAATATTCGAGGTGCCACTGCTTTTTGAAAGATGCCGGTAGAATAGGATCCCGTCGCCGATAATAAGGAAGCAATCACCATGGTGATCCATTTCCTGGATATTTCAAGTCAATTTCCATTTTCCATTATATATTTTTTAAGTTTAATTGTAGAGTTAATCAGTAAATTTGCCAAATAATGCATGTGGAAGGGGTCCAATTATTTTTCAAACATGTACGAATAGTTCAGAAACAAAAACTAAACTTTTGTGATTTTGATCTTGTTTTGCCATTTTAATTTTTTTATTCAATTTATTTAAACATTTTAATTATTTTAAAATAAAAGTAGGGCCCACCTCAACCTACTACCATATGTGATATGTGTATCATCTGCTTTTAAGGCGTCTTCGATAAAACTAGTTGGTAACAGGTAGTTTCTAGTTGGTAGCGTTTTGTTAAAAATTATGTGAAATAGTATTTGGATTTGGAGCGTTTTGTTTAAACTAAACACTAGAATCTTATAGTATCAAACGAGACATCTTGTTCAAAACGGAGCATTTTGACAAACGCTACAAGTTAGAATCTCTAAAATGCTCCATGCAGAACACGCACATAATCATCTCTCTCTCTCTCTCTCTCTCTCTCTCTCTCTCTCTCTCCCCCCCCCCCCCTCAAACGAGACCAAGCCTTCGTCGCATCCCTTGCCTCTACCACCGAAGACAAAGATGCATTGGAACTGGTGGTTCCGCCACGAGTTGATAAATTGACACCATAGAGGCCATTGTTTTCGATGAAACTACTCAGAGCCATATTTTGAAATAATGGTATGGAAGGTAACTAGGATCTAAGATTAGTTAGGATTAGCTGTGTGTCATTAAACTTGAAATATTTCCAAACTTGAACAACAAAATCACTTTGGGATTTGTCAAGAACCCTAATCTGTAAAGGGTCACCCACCCCCACTATCCTTTATTGGTTTTCTCATAAGCGACAAGCTTTATGACCTTACACAAACTCATTATCATCATCAATCTTATTCATCTCGTTAATTTAGGTTTTACTTTCCTTTAAGGAATTATGGTTAGCACTTGGTTTCAAATAATTTGTCATGGTTATGAAATCGGTGTTGATGTTTTTGATTTTGTAATTTTTGAATATACTCCAAACCAGCTTGATCAAGGTTTCCAAATTTCCCTCTTTGCATCTTTAACAAATGAACTTTACATATATATATATATATATATATATATATATATATATATATAATATATATATATAAGTGTGTGTTTAGTGTTAATAGCGGTTGACCTGGTGCTCGTATTGGTGCTAGAGAAGTTGATGTCAGTTTTAGTGGCTGAGGAATAGGTGATTGTGGAGGAACATCAAGAGTAGTGTAGGCGATGAAACAACCAACATGCATTACTAGAAAAATACCCTTTAATGACACGCGAACCATGACACACATTGTTTTACGATACACAAAAGTTAGTGCACTAAAAATAAAGCTAGTTCAAAAATTTGAAGGATTTAGGACACGCATTTCTGTGTGTCCTAAAAATAGTGTCACGTTGAAAAGAAAAACACGGAGGGCACATAACATAAAATGTGTGTCGTGTAAGCATGTCGCTTTATATTTTTTTAATGAAACGCAGGTTCTCTTCTTTGGGGGAAATGAAATTCCGAAAAGTTTGAAAGGTCTGCCATGTTATTACCTTCTTTCCATCGTTCTTCTCTCTCTTACTCAAATACCCAAAAAACACCCTAATATAGTCCTCGCTCCTCTTTTCTCCCACATCAAATTCGCACCATCAACAAATCTTCGATCTACCACCAGCAAAATGTCTCCTACCAATGTCTCCACCTAATATCTACCCTCACGCTACTTCTATCACTTAAAAATGCATGGGGTTTATAACAGGTTTCATGTTTGAATATCTGGCAGATTATTGATGCACTTGAAGGGTTAGTATTTGATTTACAGTTGTTACAGGAATCCTCTTCTAAAACTCAAGATCAGAAAGATGCAATTGAAGAATTAGAAGCTTCTCTGGAGTCTTTAGCGGAAGACCTTGATGAAAACATTATAAAAGGTTAAGTTCTTATATGTCAAGTGAAGGAGAAAGTTGCCATGATCAATGCACTTGAAGCAGATGTTTCAAGAGAGCGTGAGTTGGTAAAATCACTATTTTCTAAAATCCAACCACTAAAAGATGCCTTAAAAGCATATGAGACGACTGGAATGGAATTTGCAAAGGTCAAGGAGGCTAATGAGAGAATCGAAATGGAATTGGTTCAATTGGTAACTAATCTTGTTGAAATGGAAACATTGGTTGAATCAAGAACTTATGAGCTTCTTGAACTAAGAAAGGAGTTAGAGATGGCACAAGCTCTTTCTCAAGATAATGAGGCAATTGCTATCGAATCCAAATAGGTAGTTGAATGTGACATCCCAATTTTTCACGGCCAGAAAAGACCGATTTTGTTTATGCTTTATAAAAATCAGAGTGCCTCTTTTAATAAAAATGTTGCGGAATTTGTTCCCAGTAAAATATGACAAATACGTTATCAAAGCATTTCCAAAGAAAATTATTTGTATTCATTTTAAAACATTTGGGATGTCATCGTCAATATAGAAACATAAGCATAAACAGAACTTACATTCATTATCACTGGTGATTTATATCTCCTTAATCTCTCAGTGTAATGTGACTTCATATCATCACCTGTGATATAAATAAACTGAGTGGGTCAGGTTAGAAAACATGGTGAGTACATAGGGTTTTCAACCCACAATAATATAATTATTATGTTTAATCATCAATAACCCAATTACTCATCCCCATTATTTCTTTACTCTTAAGGATCTACCCTAAGAATCAGCTATTTCTCATTTATTCATTCCTAAGGATTATCCTAATGAATAGGTACGAAGTCCATCATTGTCAATGACACAGCTGTCAAGCACAACTGCTAGTTCTATCACTTAGGTGCAGCTGCCAGAATTGTGACATTCTATATGAGGCGCAACTACCAGTATTGTCCTTCGAGCACAATTGCTAGGGTTATCCCGTTTATTGACAGTATCGTTTTTGAAAGTCCACTCGCAATACATGTCAATGGGTTTTTAGAGTACACCGGTGAACACATCGTTCACAACACCTACAGGTTATGAGCCTGCTAGTATTCCACTGGATTGTCTAGAATAGTCCGTGGTTGTCATCCATACCCTGCTAGATGACGGGGCTAGCATTTGGGAACAAGGTTTCTCACACCGTCCATCTCTCACCCTTACCTCATGGTCTATATCACCTCTCGACTCATCATCCAACTCATATTTCATTTACCCATGTTTTACCCAACATATTATGTAGATATAAATACATCTATAGTTTAAATCATATAAAACTTGTATAAAATCATTCATCCAGCATATATAGCAAGTATACAGATAATATGCACACATAGTACATAATTTATATAAAATACTTCATATCTATGTGTAAGATGAAAGAGACCATGCACTCACCTGAGAAGGTAGTGACTCGACACTCGGACAGCACTTCGTTACTCTTAACACAATTTTCCTTTGACAAAACCTAGTATCATTACCACTAGAGTTTAGTCTAATATTCATCGATACTAATTAATAGTCTAGTTATTATTACTATTATATAAGCATTAAACAATACTCATATAATCCATAGTAATAGCCCAAGTACTTATTATAAGTTCCTAATAACGTTACTATAATTAAATAAAAGTTATATTAAAAATAGCGCAAGCATAACTCACTTACAGCGAGCTTTATAAAAAACCAGGCTTCGCTCAGAGCAGGGTTTCCTAACCGAAAGACCCTTATTCTCAGGACTTCGGGAGCCTTGGGGATTCCTTCGGGTACTAGGGGGTTCACCTAGGCTTTAGGGGGGGGGGGGGGGTTAGAAACCCTAGAGAGAAAAAGTAGTGAGAGAAATGGTGAGTAAATTGGTGAAGAAAAGAGGCTGCCTTCTCAACCTATTTATAGGCTCCAGCTTCGGTCTATGTTGGGCGTAGTGTGGCTTCGTACGATACACGCGTCGCAAGGCTGTTGGGTCATCGTGGCTCTTCTTTGGACCGCAGGAAGGATCAGAACGTTGCGTGTAACCCTCTCGTATGCAGGGTGTACTTCGGATGCTTGGCGCTCCTCTCGTACGCAAGGTGTAGTGAGGCCAAATGTCACCCATCTGAAGCGAGGCGTGGTCAACAAGCATCGGCCCAGATTATGCCACGTCATCACATTTCACAGATTTGTATCCCGACTTCTAAAATTCATAACTTTTGCATACGAGCTCAGTTTTTGACGTTCTTTATCTCCACGCATAGGCGGGAACGTACTCTACAACTTTCGTCTAGACTTCGTCGGTTAATTTGGACTTTATTTTTAAAGTTATATTATTAACAAACCAGGACAGGGTTGGTCCGTTAAAAATCCATAACTTCTTCATCTGACATCCGTTTTCGTCTGTCTTTTTATCATTACGCTATTATTAAAGAGATATTCGATTCTCGCTTAGTTTGTGTCGGTTAAAAATCGCTCGATCTAATATTTGAACTTCGGGTTGTACACTGTTAAACCGAAACTTTCGAAAAATTACAACTTCCTCATATGACGTCAAGTTTAGGCATTCTATTTATGGACGCTCTTGGTTTAAAGTATTCTACGACTTTCGTTTAGATCGCTAAAGCTAAAAGTCTCTCTATCGTAAATTTACTATTTACGCTTCCCGGTGTCATGCTGGTTCCGTCACGAAACTTCGACGGGCCATAACTTCTTCGTTATAACTCATATTTCGGCGTTCTTTATATGTACGGAACCCTTGAGACATATTCTACAACTTGATTATGATAATTTATTCGAAATAATATTTTGTTGAAAAGTCGCTTTTGACCCCTTCTATCTCTAAATTGACTAGCCCGGATCTATGGGCATTACATTGAATGTTATTGTTTTGCATTTATTTAATGAAATCTTGTTTCTACGAAATTTTTAATTCTTTTTTTGAATATAGATTGCTGAAACAAGTAGACTATATGTTGAAGAGAAAGAAGAGGAGGTGAAATTATATGAGAAATCTATTGAAGAGCTGGATTGTATGGTGACTGTCCTTGAAAACCACATTAGCTTTTTTTCAATTGGAATTTAGCATTATATTGTAAAACTTTATGTGAATTTTCAATTTTTGTTGTATATTTAAGGTTGACATGGTTAAAGGAGATGTTGAAAGGCAACGATTGCAAAAGGAAGAGCTACAACTGGAGTTTGATGCTTTTAAACAACAAATCAACCAAGTCAAAACTAGTGATTCAGACATGAAAATGTTTGATAACTATAACTCATTAAAGTAGTATATTGTATTTTTTTCATACATGACTCTTTATTCTACAGAGCTTTGAATGAAAAAGAGAAAAGTCTTCAAGAGTCCCTTCAGCGGGTTGAACTTCTTGAAAAAGAGATTGCCAACAAGGATTAAAAGGTGCAAGTTCTTCTCATTTTTCTTTTATCTGATTAAACCCATATGTAAATTTACTAATTTAACCTGCATTTACTTCTTTTTTTTTTTAAATTTTTTTCTCAGATTGTCCAACAGAAAGTTCACATTTCCGAGCTTAATCTACATGTTGAAGCTCAAGCTAGAGAGTACACTCAAAAGTTAAACAATAGTTAGACTTTTTTATTATATATATATATATATATATATATATATAATTCTTTGACTAAGTTCTTGATTTTTTTTTACAATATTAACTTCAAAAAACAATTTAAAGCATTGGAGGCAATGGCTGTCGCTGACCAAGTCAAATCAGATGTTTCTGCTTCCCACATCTCAAATTCACCATCAAAGAAACTAGAAAGGAATGGATCAAGAACAAGATGATCTGGTTCCCCTTTCAAATGCATAGGAATAGGATTAGCACAACAAATGAAGTTTGAGAGATGAAGATCTTACTACTGCAAGAAAGTGAATTAAAGAGCTTGAAGCATTGGCTTCAAGTCGCCAAAAACAGGAATAAATTTCAAATTATTTTATATATATAATTTCTCTTTTTCTAAAAGAATATCATTTCTTACATGAATTTTTATTTTCAGATATTTGCATTGAATGCAAAATTAGCTATGTCGGGGAGCATGACTCATGATGTCTTATTGTTGGGCATAAATGTACCACCCCGTTTACTAAATAAATAAATTAATTAATGATTTTATAGTAGCCCTAAAATCAATAATTATATAAAAAGATGTTGGGTTTTGGGAGCCAAATGTTACAATTTTAGAAGTCCAGGGTTGAAGTGTAAGTTTTGGATTAGATTCGTGAATATTTATGAAGGCATGGACTAATTAGCGAATTATTAGGACTCAATTTGAAGAGATTTTGGAAGCTTGGGGACTGAATGGTAACATATGGACTTCATTTGAGAACAATTTGTAGAAGAGGGGTTGTTTAGTAAAATTCGGACTTAATGTGCAAAGGATTTCATGGGGTAGGGTTTAAATGGTAAATTATAGACTTCTTTTGGAAAGATTTTATGGAGGAGGGACTGGAAGCGTCATTATGGCAATGATGTGTTAAGGGACGGGCTATTTAACCGATAACATCTTAAGTCCAATCCCTAACCCTAAAAATATGAGCAGCCATCACCTTCCCCCTAATGGGTTATATACAAACAATCCTATGTGTGCATGCAACCCTAGATTCGGATCTATGTTTTTGCTATTAGTCATACAACATTATGAACACAAAAAGAAACCTAGCATGCTCCTAGTATTTTCAAAAATCATATAGAAGAATAGAATACATACCTCTTGTTGTTATGCAGTAATAACAACTTGTTTCTTGAATCTCTTTATCTTTGAAAGCAAGTACCACAAATGTAGTACCTCTAATGGCTCATAGATACAAGAGCAAATGAAGAAGCAAGAGAGAGATAGGGGAGAGGACAAATTCGGCTCTAGGAACTATAGGGATCAAGTGGCCTTATCGCTTGAATTCATCCACCCTATCATCTACGGCTTCCTTTCCCAACTTTGTAACTATGACATAATTATAGTTCAGCCCCCTAGTTCAATTAACTTCTTTTGATCACAAAATTAATTCTTGACCAATGTTAATTAAACAAATATGATATCTCTTCTAATATATTATTCTTATAATATATCAATAAACCATAATAACCTCTTTCTCTATTATTCCTCCAGTCAAGTTGCTTTGGTGAAGGCAACCCAAAAGGATCATGCACAATCGGGTCAAGAACTTACCAAATATTGTTATGGGCTTAGACACTATTCCAGTAGTCTCCCACTTGGATAAGTCTAGTAACTATAAATGCAAGTACAATCTGATTAGCAATGTAGCTCTCAAAGATGTTGTCGAACTCTGATCTTATCAGTAACCTGTC